CACGCCCGGGATCCGAACCTGCACCGCCAGCAGCGGAGCACGCGCACTTAACTGCTAAGCCACGGGGCCGGCCCGGGAATACTTTGATATGTGCACAAAACATACAAAAACTATTCAGAGCCAGCCCTGATGGCCCAGTGGTTAAAGTTTGACATGCTGAGCTTTGACAGCCCGGAGTTCAGTTCCTGGGTGTGGAACCACACCTCTCCTCTGTCAGTAGCCATGCTGTGGCAGCGGCTCACATAGAAGAACCAGAAGAACTTACAACTGTAAGTTCAACTGTATACAACTATGTGCTGGGGCTTTGCGGGGTGGGGGGAGGAAAGGAAGAAGAAAGGAGCAAGGTTGGCAACGGATGTTAGCTTAGGGTGAATCTTCCCCTGCAAATAAAAAACAAAACAAAAATATTCATTGCAGGGTTTTTTTACAGTATTAAAAAGTAGAAAACAACCAGAATGATTATTAATAGATTAGTGATTAAACATCACTGTTAATTGTCAGTGAAACAGCATTAGTTGTCAGATTGTTGTAGGTCCAGGTACATTTATGAAAAAATGATTAGGGGGGAAAAAAGAACAGCTTGTAGGAACCATATAGTAAAAAGTAAATCATGTTGTATGTTGTTTGCAGTACGCATTATTTAAGTAGCCTTAAAAATTGTGGCTCTGGTGAAAGAACTTAAAATAAAGTGAAGTACTAAGTAGACCGAGAGAATCCTATCAAGCAATAGAAAAAAGTGTGAAAGGGTGTACTCCAGCCCAACTACAATGGTTACCTCTGGGAGGAAATTTGCATCAGGTATAGGTAAAGGGGACTTTTTAATTTTATTTTTATTATTTTTTATTTTTTCCCCCAAAGCCCCAATAGATAGTTGTACGTCATAGTTGCACATCCTTCTAGTTGCTGCATGTGGGACGCAGCCTCAGCATGGCCGGAGAAGCAGTACGTCGCTGCACACCCGGGATCCGAACCTGGGCCTCCAGCAGCGAGCGCACGCACTTAACCGCTAAGCCACTGGGCCAGCCCTAAAGGGGACTTTTCATGAATCAGTTAATTTTTGAATTTGTAGTAAGGGTGTCTTTATTGTGTAACTAAAAGGTTAAAAAAAGTCTGCAGAAAATCACCCTTTTTGTTTCCTCTAAAAACGTGGAAAGATAGAACTACCTGGGTTGGCCCAGTGGTGTAGCAGTTAAGTTCTCATGTTCGGCTTTGGTGGCCTGGGGTTCGCTGGTTCACATCCTGGGCGCGGACCTACTCACTGCTCATCAAGTTGTGCTGAGGCGGTGTCCCACATAGAAGAGCTACAACTCTGGGGCTGGCCCCGTGGCATAGTGGTTAAGTGCATGTGCTCCGCTGCTAGCGGCCCGGGTTCAGGTCCCAGGCGCGCCGATGCATCACTTGTCAGGCCATGCTGTGGTGGTGTCCCATATAAAGTAGAGGAAGATGGGCATGGATGTTAGCCCAGGGCCAGTCTTCCTTAGCAAAAAGAAGAGGCTTGGCATGGATGTTGGCTCAGAGCTGATCTTCCCCACACACACAAAAAAAGAGCTACAACTCTACAACTATGATATACAACTAGTAGTGGAGCTTTGGGGAGAAAAAAGAAAAAGAGGAAGATTGGCAACAGATGTTAGCGCAGGGCCAATCTTCCTCAAAAAAAAAGAACTACCTGCTAAGTAGTCAGATCTGAGTGATTGGAGACTGTCCACTAACTCTTAAGCAGATGAGCTGAGAGCCTTAATCTTTTCTCAGACTAAAAGCTTAATAACTAAGTGACAGATTTAGGAGCTGGGAACCCATTCTCCACAGATAACCATGGTTTAATTACTTTGCTACTATTTTTTTGGTGATTTTTGTAGGTAAAACAAAATTTATTTTGGTTCTGAAAATGAATGTTCAATTTGCTAAACATACAAATGCTAATATCTAGTTCCTTTCTAAGCTTTCAGTTCAATTTATAGATCTTAATTTATTCTAATCTAGCAGATTTTAAGTGGACCATTAGTTCATGTTTGATCCCATTTGCAAAAGGAGTTAAAATAGTTTTCAATATTATAAGCTGCATTTTAAATTTTAATATATTTATTTTCCTTTTTAAGTTTTGTAGTTTTCCAGTTATGGAACTTGTCAATAGCTTAAATCTAATAGATTATAAATGGGGTGAGTTCTAAGTTTATATGTTCTGACACTGTTAATAGACTTACTAAAACTTCAGGTTAAAATAAGTTTAAATCAATCAGTTACTCAATTACCAATTTGAAACTGAACCACCACAAGGTGGTTAGTTCTAATAGGTCCATGTTTCTAAAACAATAAATACTCAATATATCAGATATACGTAGAATTCTCCCTCATTGCCTGAAGATTATATTCAAGAATTTCTAAGTCTAATTCTAAATCTTCCTGAGGTTAAAGGTAATAAGCCTCCAAGAAAACAATTTTGGGGGCTGGCCCAGTGGCATAGTGGTTAAGTTCACATGCTCTGCTTTGCCGGCCTGGGGTTTGCAAGTTCAGATCCCAGGTACGGACCTACGTACCACTTATCAAGCCATGCTGTAGCAGCATCCCACATATAAAATAGAGGAAGATGGGCACAGATGTTAGCTCAGGGCCAATATTCCTCAGCAAAAAGAGAAGGATTAGCAATGGATGTCAGTTCAGGGCTAATCTTCCTCACCAAAAGAAAAAAAAGAAAAACTATTTTGGCCCAGGTGTAACAACCAGAGAGGTGCCTGGCACCTGGCTAGGTTCTGGCTGGAAACCCAGCTGCCAGGCTGGGCCTTGTTTTATCTCAAGCCTTGCTCTTTCAGATTTGCATTACCTATTATTTAATCTTCTGTATAGTGCCCCATTCAGGTTCCTGCTCTGCTTGATCAGATTTCATCTAATCCAGGGGCAAACTACAGCCAGATAAAATCCGGCCCACCAAATTTTTTTTTTTAATAAAGTTTTATTGGAACACAGCCCTGTCCATTTGTTTACATATGGTCTGTGGCTGCTATTGGGCTGCAGTGGCAGAGTTGAATATTTGCAGTATGGCTAACAAAACTGAAAATATTTACTGCCCTTTTCAGAAAAATTTTGTGGATTCCCTTATCCCATCTATTTATTACTTCATCCTATTGTAAATTCTTTTCTTACTTTTAGTCTGTTAGAGTCACTTCTCATGGGATATTTACATGATATCCTTTTGAGTTCATGGCTTTGACTGACTTTGTGGTTCTAGTTCTTAGGACATGACAATATATTCAATTACTTGTTTTTTTACAAAAGAAGATTATGCTCTCCATGTGTGATGACTTTTAATCTTAACAGTTGTATAATTTTCAGTCTTACGGGTATACATGAATTTAACCAGTCCATGGTTTGGTTGTTTCCACTTCTTAGCAATTGTAAATGATAACAAAGTGATTTATAGGTATATTAGAGCTGCTATACTTACACTTATAAGAGAAAAATTCCAAGAGGAGGAATTTCTGGGTCCAAGCGTATCTGTTTTAAAATATTCGTAGTGATTGCTAACATGATCCCTCTACTCCCCTGTGGATATTGCAATGTTTTCCAGCCCTCTGCCATTGAAAACTGCTACATGCCTCTCTTCCTCACCCAGGTGACCCGCTCCGTTTCCATGCCCACTACATTGCTCAGTGCTGGGCTCCTGGGGACCCTATCCCACTCCAGGACCTGGTTTCTGCCGGCCGCCTCGGAACCAGTGTCAGAAAGACGCTGCTCCTCTGTTCTCCGCAGCCTGATGGTAAGGTGGTCTACACCTCCCTGCAGTGGGCCAGCCTGCAGTGAACTCCAGAGACCCATGGGGATGTGGCTGTGTCTGTGGCAAGAGCCTTTCTAGATGGTCCCAGGCTCATCTCTGCGTGGGAGGCTAAAATACCCTCCTACCTCCCTGTGCGGTTAGTTTTTGATTCCAGATTTATAAACACTACATCCTTCTTAGGTCCCTCCCTGTTTCAAAGCATTTACTGGCTGTGTTGTTTTTGTAGTTACCTATTTGCAAACTGTGAGCTTCTTGAGAGTGAAGACTGGGTTTGATTCATCTCTGTTTTCTACAGGGCTCAGGTCCCAAGAGGTCCCAATAAACTTGTTGAATAAATGTGCAGTTTGTGATTTGAATCCTTACAACAATCCTGGGAAGTGTGGGCATTTGCTCTGCTTATACAGATGAGGAAAAGGCCTGGAGGAGGGGAAATGACTCGCCAGAGGTCACACAGCTAGTGAGCAGCAGGGCTGGATTTACAACTTGGTTTCTGACTCTGAAGCCTGAGCCCTTCCCACTGCACTAACCTTCCTTTGAAAAGATTTTTGTAAAACATTTCAGATGCATACAAAGGCGTAAATAAAAGTAACTGAAGGAGAAAAGAAGGAAGTGAGCGTTGCCGTTTTAGGAAGGAGTTTGGAGTGGGGAGGGGAATGTCAGGAAGGGCACGTGGGGCTTCTGGAATGCTAGCGGTATTCTTTTTCTTGGCCTGAGTGATGTTTATTCAGGTGTTTGACAATTATTTTTTATACCATACATTTATATTCTATATTCTTCTTTTATATGTATGTTATATTCCACAATTTTTTACAAAAGCTAAAACTCACACGTATAAAATATGCATTTATAAAACGATCCCTGTATCCACTTTTCTGCTTAAGAAATTACTGGAACGTTGCCAGTACTGACTTCCAATATTTGTATGTATACTTAAACAATGCATAGTTTTTTCGCATAGATTTCGTTACTGTAATACATTCACATGGTAAAAATTCTGGGGCTGAAAGTCTCTATTTCCTCTGTTTCTACCCCCACGATTTCTTCTTTCTTTCTTGCCTTTCTCAGTAAACAACCTTAATAGAATCTCAATTCCCTCTAAGTTTGGATTAATTTAAAATAGGATGCTAACCCCTGCATGGCTACCTAGCACTGTTCTTTGTGCCTCTTTGGTAACTGTCTTTAAATAGATTCTCCAGCTTTTCTCTTCTCTCTACAACAAAGGACTTAGAAGTCTCAGTACCTATATCATGTGTCTTCCCTCTCAAAAGTTCCTCATTAAAAACTATTATGAGGGCATCACATGCAAAAAAGAAAAAGAATCTAAACACAGACTTTACATCTTTTACAAAAATTAACTCAAAGTGGATCATAGACCCTAATGTTAAATGCAAAACTGTAAAACTCCTAGGAGATAACATAGGCGAAAACCTAGATGACTGGGTATGGTCATGACATTTTAGATACAACACCAAAGGGATGATCCATGCAAGAAAGAATTGATAAGCTGGACTTTATTAAAATTAAAAACTTTGAGAAAATTTTGCAAAAGACACATCTGATAAAGGACTGTTGTCCAGAATACACAAAGAACTCTATTTTATTTTTTGTGAGGAAGATCAGCCCTGAGCTAACATCCATGCCAATCCTCCTCTTTTTGCTGAGGAACACTGGCCCTGGGCTAACATCTGTGCCTGTCTTCCTCCACTTTATATGGGATACCGCCACAGCATGGCTTGACAAGCGGTGCATCGGTGCGAGCCTGAGATCCGAACCCGGGCCACCAGCAGCAGAGCACGTGCACTTAACCGCTAAGCCATGGGGCCAGCCCCACAAAGAACTCTTAAGGGGCCAGCCTGGTGGCGTCGTGGTTAAGTTCGCATGCTCCGCTTCGGTGGCCGGGGGTTCGCAGTTTCGGATCCTGGGCACGGACCTACGCACTGGTCATCAAGCCATGCTGTGGCAGCATCCCATATAAAGTAGGGGAAGATGGGCACAGATGTTAGCCCAGGGCCAATCTGCCTCAGCAAAAAGAGGAGGATTGGCAACAGATGTTAGCTCAGGGCTGATATTCCTCTCACACATACAAAAATCTCAACAATAAGAAAACGAATGACCCGATTAAAAAGTCTGCCAAAGACTGTAACGGTGACCACAGTAAAGCAAGATATGCAGATGGCAAAGAAGCATATGAAAAGATGCTACACATCATATGTCCTCAGGTAAATGCAAATTAACAATGAGATACCACTACACACCTATGAAAATGGCTAAAATCCAGAACACTAACACCACCAAATGCGGGTAAGGATGTGGAGCGACAGGACTCTCCTTCATTGCTGGTGGGAATTGCTAATACAGCCACTTTGGAAGACAGTTTGGCGGTTTCTTAGAAAACTAAATATACTCTCACCGTATGATCCAGCAGTTATGCTTCTTGGTGTTTACCCAAAGAATTTGAAAACTTAAGACCCCACAAAAATCCACACACGATGTTTTTAGCAGCTTTATTGATAATTGCCAAGACTTAGAAGCAACCAAGATGTCCTTCAGTAGGTGAATGGATAAATAAACTGTGGTACGTCCAGACAAGGGAATATTATTCAGTGCTAAAAAAAAATGAGCTATCAAGCCATGAAAAGACATAGAGGAACCTTAAATATATATTACTAAGTGAAAGAAGCCAATCTGAAAGGCTACATACTGTATGATTCCAACTGCACGACACCTTGGAAAAGGCAAAACTGGAGACAGTAAAAAGATGAGTGGTTGCCAGGGGTTGGTGGCAGGTGGGGGTGAATAGGCAGAGGACAGGGGATTTTTAGGGCAGCAAAACGACTCTGTATGATACTATAATGATGGGTACATGTCATTATACATTGGTCCAAACCCATGGAATGTACAACACCTAGAGTGAACCCTAGTGGCAACTATGGACTTCAGGTCATTATGATGTGTCAATGTAAGTTCATCAATGTTAATAAATGTACCACTCTGGTGGGGGATGTGGATAATGGGGGAGGCTGTGCGTGTATGGGGGCAAGGGGAATATGTGAAATCTCTGTACCTTCCTCTTAATTTTGCTGTAAGCCTAAAACTGCTCTAAAAAAAAAAAAAAAAAAGCAATTGTGACTGGTGTCCCCACATCCAATCAGTCACTAAATCCTATAGGCGCTACCTTCCAAACGCCATAGACCCAGAATTTGGCCATTTCACTCCACCTTCACTGCTGACATGTTGGCAAAAGCCTCAACGTCGCTCACTTAGATGACTGCAATAGCCTCCTACCTCAGCTCCTTGGCTTCCACCCTTGCCCCTCTACTGTCTGTTTTCATCAGAGCAGCCGGCATAATCGGGTTAAAAGGTAGGTCAGAGCATGTCACTCCTCTGTTTAAGATTCTCCAATAGTTCCCCACCTCGAAGTGAAAGAAAAGGCCTTACACTGCAGGTTCCTCTTTAACCCTGACCCCATCAATTCCATGCTTCCACTACCCTACCTGGAAGCTCTTCCCCCGGATGGCCACGTGGTCTTGTCCCTCACTGCTGGCTACTCTTTCCTTCACCGTCACTTCTCAGGCCTTCCAAAGTCACCCTACCTTAAAATTTAACTCCCATCCCACGTGCTACTACCGTCTTGATTTATTTGCCTTACCACTTATCACTAATGTGATATTGTGATTATGAGAAATATATGTCTGGTCTTTGTTCTCATTTCTAACACAGAGCTCTTAAAACCCTTGGAGGGCTGGGCCCCGTGGCATAGCAGTTAAGTGCTCGCGATCCACTGCTGGGTTCGGATACCCCGGGCGCGCCCCGACGCACCGCTTGTCAGGCCAAGGTGTTGCGGCGTCCCACATAAAGTGGAGGAAGATAGGCATGGATGTTAGCCCAGGGACAGTCTTCCTCAGCAAAAAAAAGAGGAGGATTGGCATGGATGTTAGCTCAAGGCTGATCTTCCTCACACAAAAAAAAAACCTTGGAATTTCCTAAGTGATAAAAGTAATAAAGGTGTCTTGATATGCATAACATACCCCTTTCAACCACTTCTGAGTTTATGTAAATGAGGTGACTTTTGGAACTTGCCTAAGGATGGGGTCTGGTTGCCAGGGTAACCAACCATGTGATTAGAGGGTTGGAACTTTCATTCCCATCCCCCTGACCTCCAGGGAGGGAAAAAGGACTAGAGGTTGGCTCAGTTGCCGAGGGCCAATGATTTCATCAATCCTGCCTATGTAATGAAGCCTCCATGATAACCCAAAAAGACGAGGTTCAGAGAACTTCCCGGTTGGTGAACATAAGGAGATGCTGGGATAGTGGCGCTCCTGGAGAGGGCATGGGAGCTCCTCACCTGTTCCCCATATCTTGCCTTATGCTTCTCTTCCAACTGGCTGTTCCTGAGTTATATCCTTTTCATAATAAACTGATAATGTAGTAAGTAAAATGTTTCTCTGAGTTCTGTGAGTTGCTCTAGCAAATTAATCAAACCCAAAGAGGGGGTCATGGGAACCTCCAATCTATAGATGACGCATATCATTAGTTATTCAGACATTTAACGATTTACTGACTACCAACTATATGTTGGGCCTGTGCTAAGACGCTGATAAATAGGAAAGATGAGGTCCTTGCCCTTCTGTAACTTTTTTGTCTAGGAGCTAATCTGTAAACAAGAAAACAGAAGTGAACAAGGTAATTTGAAAGATATAGAATGAAGAGAATAATAATGATGCTAGCTAACGCCGAGTGCTTCCTTTGTGCCAGACACCATCCTAAGGACTTTGCAGGGGTTGCATCATTTAATCCTTACTGTAACCCTTTGAGGTAGACACTGCCTTCACCCCCATGTTATAGATGAGGAAGCCAAGGCACAGAGTGATTGAGAAACTCATCCAAGGTGTTGCAGCTAGCAAGTGGTGATTGCTGGATTTGAACCCAGGGACCTGGATAGAGCAGGGTGACGTGGCAAAGAAAGGAGTGAGTGGAACTGCTGCTCTGAGCAGGTACTATTAACCACTGAGTGTGCGGGACAGCAGCAGGATAAAGGAGTGGTGAACAGCACAGGCTATGGAGCCAGATCGCCCAGCTGCAACCTTGGCCCGACCTCTAGTTGTTGAGAGACTGCACATACAAACATACAATGTCCAGACTGTAACCACAGGCCCTCTAGGAACAATTCCACTGATTCCATCTTATCAACAGAGTAATTAAGAGTGTTTTTTTTGTGTGTGTGTGAGGAAGATTGGCCCTGAGCTAACATCTGTGCCCATCTTCCTCCATTTTGTATTTGTACGTGGGACGCTGCCACAGCATGGCTTGATGAGCGGTGTGTCGGTCTGTACCCAGGAT